ACCGGGCCGCGGGGACACTAAAAAGCCCCTAAATCATCTCAAGATAACCTCAAGATAACCACAAGTCATTGTGACCAATGTCACTGTTCCCACTGAAGCCTCAAAACCCCACATAACTCTGCTAATTGACTGCACTCGGTACTCTACTCTAACAAAACTACTCAAAGTCACACGGAATGTGTTTGTTTCTTCTGAAAGTAGATTTCAGACACACGTTTCGGAGTGAACTTAAATACTGGATCAAACAAACACAAATTAAAACATATGGAGATGATTATGATAATCCTCGACCAAAGACCATTTAAGACTTTAGGTCTTTGAATAGACCCAGACAATAACAACATAATGCGATGTGGGGAAAGACTGAAGCATTCAGATGTTGACTTGGATGTGAAACACCCTTGGTTCCTTCCCTGGAATTACTGGGTGAGCAGATTGCTTATAATGCACATACACGCACACTGCACACATTACAGTGGGGTACTTGCAACCCGTTCTCGCAAATTCGTAAAGTCAATATTGACTTATTAACTACGTGCATAGGTGATATACTAAACATAATAGATACCCTTAAAAAGATTCATAGAAAACACCGACCTTACCTAACCTTGTTAGTATCTTAAGATAAGCATCTTATAGCTTCGTAATTACAATTATTACTTAACCTATACCTATTATAGGTTAGGTAATAATTGTAATTACGAAGCAATAAGATGCTTATCTTAAGATACTAACAAGGTTAGGTAAGGTCGGTGTTTTCTATGAATCTTTTTAAGGGTATCTATTATGTTAAGTATGTCACCTATGCACATACTTAATAAGTCAATATTGACTTTACGAATTTGCGAGAACGGGTTGGGTACTTGACACTCATACCACACTAAAACAACAGTACTGGCTTTAACAAGGGCGTCAAACTGTTAAATATATTATTAAAACGTGTTGTTTGCAGAAGGAAGCATCATACCTTCGTCCTTTTGAGACCACAGGTGTGGGACTTCACAGGTGGCATTACCTTGACTGGCACCAAGAATAAGATTCATATTAAGACATATATCTGCCTGCTCACATGTGCAACCACTCAAGGAGTTCACCTGGAAGTGACTCCTGATATGAGTGTAGAATCTTTTATCCAGGCCTTCTGCAGGTTTGCTGCACGCAGATCCTGCCCCAGGTTCATGATATCCGATAACGGGTCCAACTTGGTGGCTGGTGAGGGAGATCTGGGAACATCCAGCTGTTCGCGCTGCCTTAAGACAAAAACAAACGTACTTGAAATTCATACCACATACAGCACCATGGCACAGTGGGCGCTATGAGAGGATGGTGGGAACAGTGAAACGCTGTTGCAAGACCTTACACCCCCAGAAAATAGACCTCCGAGACCTATATACAATAGTAACCAAAATAGAATCACGATTTAACAACTGACCACTGACTTATAATCTGTTAGATGATCCCTCACAACATGAACCACCAGTCCAGCTCATCTAGCGTGTGGGGGACATCTGGCACCTATAGCGCCTATAGTGGATGAGGAATCCACATAACTTTGTTACGTTGGCGAGACTGACAGTTCAGAGTTACAAACATCTTTTTACATTTATCAGTCGGTGAATGACATTTCAACAAGGGAATATCTTACGTCTCTGCATGAATATCACTAAGGGGCTAATTCTCCATACAATAAAATTAACACACAACCTGGCAGTGTTGTTTCTGTGAACAGCAATGGCCCACCCATATCACCAAGCAATCTTGAGGACAGCTTAAGTACAATGCAAAGACCCTCAAAACAATTGACAAATTAGTACCTCTGGAGATCGCAGTTGAGGAAAACACTAAGAGACCTACAAAATATATGACTTCAATATGAGACATATGTCCCGTACTCACTACTGCACAAAGGTGGAACCAAAAATTACAACAGTATTACACCTCAAATTCTGAGTCAGTAATAAACAGTGTGCTTGTCACCCTTGTTCCGCCCCCCCAGAATTATGTGGGAAATATTTCCCATTTGCTACATTATTTACTGCACAATATATTTATATAATAATTTACTGCTATGAAGATTCGTCATCTGTTAAGCTTACAAGACTAACCATGAAAAATAATTGACCATTCTAATAACCTTTAAACTGATTATTAGGATTTACCTCTGTTAATACAATATTTACCTATTATGAAAATATTAAGGGTTGATGTAACATTCGTGACGTCAGTCAGCTCTGTCACCACCAGGATTGAGCAACTGAATTACGATACTTAAGCCTTGTGAATAAATATTATGACGGAGATAAATTCCAACGCTTTATATATTACTCAAATTAATATACTTAATTCAATCATGTAATGATTTAAATTGAACAGCCCCTCTTCCGATTAAATAAACTTAACTCTCACTTGAATGACAGCCAAAGTAAGGGAGGAGGACCTGGCCATATTATTTTTCAAAGAGACATGCAACTAACACCGAGTCTCTGAAGACCCATAATACTGCCACCTCCCTGCTTATGTGCAGAAAAGTCGGTTGACTTAGTACTAGGCAGTGTTCGTCTCCATCTAAGAGTGTTAAGTATCTTTATATTATATGTTGGCCAACTTTAATAACTAGGTTTATAAGATGGTTTAGCAGCAGAAGAAACTAAATCTCAAGTAAGAACTTAAGCTCAAGCAGAGTTACAAGAGTTTTACATTCTTGTAAAGCCACTAGTACGCGTAGCGTTTCGGGCAGGTCCTTAACCCTAATTTCCCCGGAATACGACCCCGCCGAATCGTTTAACAACCAGGTACCCATTCACTGCTGGGTGAACAGAGGCTACAGTTAAGGATTGGCGCCCGGTTAATCCTCCCCGGCCAGGATTCGAACCCAAGGCAAGGCGCTTGCGAAACGCCAAGCGAGTGTCTTACCACTGCGCCACGGGGACTAAGTTCTTGCTTACTGAGAATAAATAAATAATTACTAAAATTGTAAGTGTTTGTATTATTATCAACATCACTGCATCATATGTGAGGCTGCATGTAAATCAGGAGAAGGGTGTTCTATTCTGTGAATGACCATTCCAGGCTTTTTAGCTGTTTAGGAAACAACTGTGTAGTGTAGTGGTAAGTGGTAAGTGGTAAGTGGTAAGTGTAGTGTAGTGGTGTAGTGGTAAGACACTCGCCTGGCGTTCCGCGAGCGCTATGTCATGGGTTCGTATCCTGGCCGGGGAGGATTTACTGGGCGCAAATCCTTAACTGTAGCCTCTGTTTAACGCAACAGTAAAATGTGTACTTGGATGAAAAAAAGATTCTTCGCGGCGGGGATCGTATTCCAGGGACCATAGGATTAAGGACTTGCCCGAAACGCTACGCGTACTAGTGGCTGTACAAGAATGTAACAACTCTTGTATATATCTCAAAAAAAAAAAAAAAAAAAAAAAAAAAAACAACTAGACAGAAGAAACGAGTGCTATTAACTAATCCCATTCAGATAGCACAGGGATTAATTTAAATTAAGTACAACCAAATTAATTTAGTACACCTTAAACTTGAATAACACTAAAGTACAATTCCTGCTCTATGTGAATTAACACAAACACCGTAATCCCCCACTGTGGGAAGTGTGTGAAAATTTAATTTACAGTTTATAATAATAATTAGTAATAATATACTACTAATATTATTATATTATTAATATTATATATAATATTATATATAATATATATATTATATATATATATATATATAATATATATAATATAATATAATATTACAATATTAATTATATTATAATTAGTAATAATGTTTTACTGTCCACTATAATATATAGTTCACTTACGAAAGAAAATAAACAAACGTAGCCATATAATCCCACATTCCTATCCCTGATCTTCAACTTCACCCTCACTAGCACTAAGGTGGTGAAAGCACTTGGGCTGGACGGTAGAGCGACCTCTCGTCGCTCTACGGTCTCGTTTCATGCAGGTCGGGGTTCAATCCTCGACCGTCCAAGTGGTTGGGCACCATTCCTTCCCCCCCTTCCCCCCAACCGTCCCATCCAAAATCCTTATCCTGACATATTCCAAGTGCTATATAGTCGTAATGGCTTGGCACTTTCCCTGATAGTGAGACTGTATAGTCCCACTAGCTTAGCGTTTTCTCTCGATTATTATCTTCCCTTTGGAGATATCAGGTCTTCTGTTTTGATTGTTGTGTGGCTGGTTAATGATTTGTTATCTTATTAGTTGATTTGGGTTATATTGCTGCATGGTTAAAGGCATAATAAGAGCCTATGCATACAACTCTTAACTTGCGAAAGCTAAGATATTTGAGTGGGCAGCAATTGAGGAACTGAAGGCAACTCATTTTTTTTTTCTTTTGTTTTTTTGAGATATATACAAGAGTTGTTACATTCTTGTAGAGCCACTAGTACGCGTAGCGTTTCGGGCAAGTCCTTAATCCTATGGTCCCTGGAATACGATCCCCGCCGCGAAGAATCGTTTTTTCATCCAAGTACACATTTTACTGTTGCGTTAAACAGAGGCTACAGTTAAGGAATTGCGGCCAGTAAATCCTCCCCGGCCAGGATACGAACCCATGACATAGCGCTCGCGGAACGCCAGGCGAGTGTCTTACCACTACACCACGGAGACTCATGGAGTATTGCCAGTACTGGTTGTACACTGACACATCATTGTCAGGCCTTGTTACGATTATTTCAATCTTATTATTAGTTGGCAAGGCTGAGAATTCACACTTAGATACAAACTTAATTCCTGGCCACACCCAATAACCTTGCTGACCGAACCACAAAGATATATAGAATCCACTGCTGTAAATAGGCTTCATTAAATATAATGTCAGTTGTAACTTACAGTTCATTTTCCTTCTGAAGGACTGAAAAAAGTTGAAATTGCATTCTAAAAATAAGTTGCTACTTTTCCAGAGTAATATCCATGTAACCTATATCAACTGTGAAAGTCATTTACAGGGCATCAGTTGCCCAAAGTACTTACCAAAAGAGCCTTGAGCTTCGATGTTTGCGCCTGCGTCTAAGAGCACCTTTATAACGTTGACATGACCCCATAAGGCTGCCCTGTGTAGAGGTCTCCACAACCCTACTGAAGCTTCAATGTTTGCTCCAGACCTGATCAAAGTACTCGCTACTTGTGCATTACCCACGTAGCTGGCACAGTGTAGTGGGCCCCAACCTGTAAGCAAATTGGAAATGCTCTGAGGTACAAGAAAGTAGAAAATCAGAAGCTATAGGAAATTCACCATTTAAAAACATTTAGCAAAATCTGTTGGATTTAAAAATATATAAATTTTGAAATTTTATAATATTTGTTTGTGCCTGTCATAAAATTTTTCTGTTATAAGTATCTACCATAAATAAGATGCAATACAGTATTACAGAACTAACCATTATTGTCTGAAGCCTCAATATCAGCGCCTTCCTGCACCAGCAAGGTAACGAGGCTCTCTTGACCCCACCGACACGCCAGGTGCAATGGCCTCTCTCCTGCTCGCGGTACATGCAAGGAAGCATCGCAGAATTACTGTGTTGCCTAATAAAATAGCCTCTGCTTATGCCAAATTAAAGGAAAAGTGCAACAGTATTACAATTATTAGCAACATTTTGCATTTCCCCTCAGCTTAAAAAGGGGCCTCGTAGCCTGGTGGATAGCGCGCAGGACTCGTAATTCTGTGGCGCGGGTTCGATTCCCGCACGAGGCAGAAACAAATGGGCAAAGTTTCTTTCACCCTGAATGCCCCTGTTACCTAGCAGTAAATAGGTACCTGGGAGTTAGTCAGCTGTCACGGACTGCTTCCTGGGGTGTGTGTGTGTGTGGTGTGGAAAAAAAACAAAAAAAAAAAAAGTTAGTAAACAGTTGATTGACAGTTGAGAGGCGGGCCGAAAGAGCAAAGCTCAACCCCCGCAAAAACACAACTAGTAAACAGAGGGGCTGTATGAAGCCTGAAGACTGAGTATGTTTTAGTTCTGTTAGCTGATTTTTCCCGGGTGATGATGGGCTGGAGGTAGGTTGTGATGGGTAATCCCTATGCACAAATACCGTAAGTTAGATAGGGATATAGTGTGAGAAGGGCATAGTTTGGGGACGTAATATTTCATCTTTTAAAGTATGTTTAAAACTGTTTTAGCTACTTTTTTGGCTGTGTTGAATGTGAGTGTTGAAGTTAACAAGAAGTGTTGTACAAGCCCACAAGGATTCCTTCACTTCTATTATTCTCAGAGTTTTATGTTATTTAATGATTCTGAAACTTAGGGGCAAGTTTCAGTACTTGGAACAAGAAGTTTTATTCTTAGAAATGAATAATACATTGGTTTTAAACATTTTTTGTTAAAACATAATAATTAAAATTATGATGAATTCCCGTTAATATAACCAGCATTCGTGTAACAATATATAACTTTCACAATAGAAGTATTCTTAAAACACGCTCAAAAATAGTAATTGAATTTAATATCTGTTTCTCTTCAGTCAAGATCATCCTTACCAGATGTATCGGAGAGAGCGAGACAAATGTCGGTTCATACTCATTAGTCTATTACCAGTCAATACAGTGGATATTATTTCCAAAATACACTTTCTCATACCGAACATTGGCAATAGTAGTGAACAGTCAACCATGATACCTGGTGCTGCTGTTGAGCAAAGGGTGACGACAGAGGTAGGCCGTATTTGCCCGGCAGGACTGGTTCCCGAAATGAAAAGTAAAACAAAGTTGTTTGTTGGTTTGCTAAAGGCGAGTTATAGACGAGGGGTATTAGTGATATTTTTAAGTTGAGATATGAAGGAAAGACTCAGCACAACTTTGATTTCGAGACACCGACATAGTTCGTAATAATATGGTTTACACTCCTGCTTCCAATGCTGCTGGTGTCTACTCTATTTCCTAGTTCTCTTGTCCTCTCTAATATTTTGGTGAAATTGGTTGTACACATAATAACTTAACACAAAAGAAGTGTTCAGTCTGCAGACATTAACAATTCTCTGTTCCGGCATATTAGGAACTCTAGTCATCCTATAGATTCGTCTTCTAAAATAATCTTTCCTGATCTTTAAGGGGGCAAATCACAGGAAAATAAAAAATAATAATAGAAAATTTTAGAAAAATATGTGTTCCCTAGGCAACCCTATAGTGTTGTGTTATTGTGATTATTATCTTATTTTCCCATGTTATTTCGAGCCCGACCTCAGACCAAAACTTCTAGCATGAGCAACCACCACACCCTTCCCTACCCTTCAAACTACCTGTATTATTGTCCATATATATTATTGTGTTTAAAGTAATTAGGATAGGTTGGGGTAGGCTAGTGTTAATATATCTTAATATATATTACTGTGCATAAGATACTGTAATTAGGATAGGTTATGGTAGGCTAGTGTTAATACATCCTAATATGGCTTAGAGCAACCCGTTCTCGCAAATTCGTAAAGTCAATATTGACTTATTAAATAAGTGCATAGGTGACATACTAAACATAATAGATACCCTTAAAAAGCTTCATAGAAAACACCGACCTTACCTAACCTTGTTAGTATCTTAAGATAAGCATCTTATAGCTTCGTAATTACAATTGTTACTTAACCTATTATAGGTATAGGTTAAGTAATAATTGTAATTACAAAGCAATAAGATGCTTATCTTAACATACTAACAAGGTTAGGTAAGGTCGGTGTTTTCTATGAAGCTTTTTAAGGGTATCTATTATGTTTAGTATGTCACCTATGCACGTAGTTAATAAGTCAATATTGACTATACGAATTTGCGAGAACGGGTTGAGCAGAATTAGAGACCAGTAAGCCTTCAGCGGTTTCTCTTAATTCACATAGAATAGATATAAATAGATGTAGTTAATCGCTGATAAAATAGGACGAATCGGTATACCTGTTTTATGAACTTTAGGTAACCCATATAAGATGCCAGGCTTAGAGCCAGTTGCAAGTAATTTAGTATAATCGAAAAGAGAGTCTTTCAAACTTCTTAAAACTCTATTCAGTTTATCCTCACATTTCAAAATATAGACCCATTCTCGTATATTTTGAAATGTGAGGATAAACTGAATAGAGTTTTAAGAAGTTTGAAAGACTCTCTTTTCGATTATACTAAATTACTTGCAACTGGCTCTAAGCCTGGCATCTTATATGGGTTACCTAAAGTTCATAAAACAGGTATAATAGATGTAGTTAAGTATGGTAACTAATAGGCAGGCACATATCAATTGAAAATAGCGGCTATTGCTAACATTAAAATTGTGCTCCTGTCCAAACATCTGACACCTATCTCTCACAACTTGAAAATATATTCAGCTCAATAATACCAATTAAGTTCGTTAATCAATTAAGTTCGTTAATCTTTTATTTGATAAATTATGACACATGAAAATTACAACTGCACCATTCTTGCTCTCACTGATGCAAATTGGTCTATGATGACCAGACCACACACTAGAAATTGAAGGGACGACGACGTTTCGACTTGAGAATGGTCCAGGACGGACCGAAACGTCGTTGTCCCTTCAATTTCTAGTGTGTGGTCTGGTCAACATACTTCAGCCACGTTATTGTGACTCATCGCCTGCATATGGTCTATGATGTGGTAAAAGTCCGGGCTTTGTTCAGTTTCATCTCTATCTACACATAGCAGAGGAAGATCACAGTCTACCTTGACCCAGGGAGGCTCTCAGATACGAAAGTATTTGTTTTAATTTGCTGAATGATCTCTCACAGCTGGGGATGGAAACCGCGATGTTTAGCATTATCTGAATTTCAATACGAAGATTTGGGAAGATGCTCTCATCTCAATACTGAAGACAGATTATACACCTGCAGAAAATTCTCCTTTCACTCTCCGAAGATAGCTTATCTGACTTTAATAGAATTTAATGCTCAGTGGCGCTCCCTTCAAGTGGGGCCCAGGGCACGTTGCCATACCCAAAATATGCCACTGGTGGCGCCCAGGGCACGTTGCCATAATTGTCATACCCTACATACGCGACTGCCAAAAGACCTTTTGCAATGTCCTTTATTCTCAGATGCTTATTATGAGTGAGATGATAAGGTGTACTTGATTGATTGTGTAATGCATAGGATGGATTTGACCCATAAGCGGGTCACTAATATCAGGGGAGACAATGACCGACCCATGCCTGGGTCACTAATATCAGGGGAGACAATGACAGACCCATGCCTGGGTCACTAATATCAGGGGAGGCAGTGACCGACCCATACCTGGGTCACTAATAACAGGGGAGGCAATGACAGACCCATGCCTGGGTCACTAATATCAGGGGAGGCAATGACCGACCCATACCTGGGTCACTAATAACAGGGGAGACAGTGACCGACCCATGCCTGGGTCACTAATATCAGGGGAGGCAATGACCGACCCATACCTGGGTCACTAATATCAGGGGAGACAGTGACCGACCCATACCTGGGTCACTAATAACAGGGGGAGACAATGACCGACCCATACCTGGGTCACTAATACCGCCTGTGATATATGGGCCAATAGATTTGCAGTATCCTACATTCTTATGTTCAGTCTTTAACTAGGCAACGACAAAAATATTTGATACAAATGAACAATCATTAACATGCAAATTGTTTTTGGTACAAACATATAACCTTGAATAGTCACTGAACAATATTGCAGGACTAGGAAAACTAAACTGAAAATATATGACTGGAAATTACTTTTGGAATAAAATTAATTAAAATTTTGGGAAGATTACAACCAGTTGACGTCATTCACAGAAAATTTAAACCGAGCTTCAACGTTCAGTCGACCTTTTGGGAAACAAAGGCGTCCAGCTCAAAGAAAATCTTTGAAGTCTTTGAAAATGTAATAAGTTTTACGAAACGCGCTCGTGTCGCGTCAGACTAGAAATAATCTTCGCACATCGTCGTCTCATTTTACACTACTGTGGGTCACCATGTCTCTATCGGTCTCGAGAGAACAGGAAGCCGGCGGCTTGTCGAAGGTCACCTGATTTGTTCTGATAATTCTACCAAGCTAGAATTTGAAATTCAGCAGCGTTTGGCATTTACGGTTTTGGCAAGTAAGCAGTTGTACATGTAACAACGCTATGGGTGAAAAAGCATCTTCTGTTCTCTGTTCTACATTGTAGCTTGTTGAGCTACAATGTAGATCAATGTAGACCCATTGATCCTTGTTCGTGTTACATCTGACCTTTTGAAGAAGTGGTCTGGACCAATATCCTCCAAATTGTTCAGTATTTTTGATGAGATCCGCCTTGTTATCTCTGGTTGTCAGCCTTGAGGACCTCAACTGTTCCTGTTATGAGAGACGACTGAGTACAGATATGAATTTTGTTGCACAGCACTGAACTCTCTCCAAAGCTGATACATTTTTTTTTTTTTTTTGAGATATATACAAGAGTTGTTACATTCTTGTACAGCCACTAGTACGCGTAGCGTTTCGGGCAAGTCCTTAATCCTATGGTCCCTGGAATACGATCCCCTGCCGCGA